GTTTTGCAATAGTTTCAAGATTATTACTGACGAAGCTTGAAACTTTGCGGTGGCTACGGTGGAGATCTTAGCAGACGTTAGCTGCAGACGGTGGTGTTTGATTTTGCATCGCAGGGATGTCACGTAGAAGTGGATAAGAGGACACGTGTTGCTGTAACATTGTTGTACTCTTTTTGATTCGTGTTGGGCTTTCGCCAATTTCGTGTACTATTCTAACTTGGCCCTCTGGCTACTTTAATGAAATGTTTGTCGGCCAAAAAAAACAAAAATAACTACCACTGAAATTTAAATTTGTATAATAGATGATATTGAAAGAAGAAGAAAAAACATGGCTACATGCCTACTACCTCAAGCAACATGTAGGGAAATTGGTAAAAATAACACAAAAAATTTATCATCTAAAACTAACCAAAACTCTTATATCCAATGATCATAATTTTGCCACATATCCTAATTTGACTTACTTTTTAAATTTTTTTTTTTTATTATACACCGAAATGATCCCAACATGTATCTCCCCTTCTGACATGACATTTTATTCAACAAAATAAATTATTGATTTGGGGGCCATAGGACGAGAAGATATGCAAAAATATTCACCACATTAACAAAAGAACAAAATACAAATCCCTACAACATTACACTCATGGTTATTTTTCTCAATATCAATGACTTTAGACTATTATTAAAAATATCCGCTAATTCGTATATTTTAGATTTCAAATGGTAGAGAAGATACTACTTTTTTGTGGTTCTCTTTAAGAGTAGATTCTAGCTACGGTGAGCTACCGTCGAGCAATAATTTTCTTTCCAGATTGTAGCTGAGTTTTTTTTTTTTTTTTGAAAGATTTTATCAACAAATTGATTAGGAATTTTTTCAAACATTTACGGAAAATATAACGACGGTACTTGTACTTGTGCGGGAGGTGAAACTCATGCAAACGGTTTTTAAAGAGAAAGAGTTCATTTCTGTTGATCAGAGTATATATTTATAAACTGTCTATATATATTTCTTTTCCAATACTATGTTCTTTACTCGAAAATACAAGAAAGAAAAAGAAAACAAAAAATATGTCAATCTTCTGTGTGAAGATTAAATTGTTTGTTCAGTGTTATCTATGATCAGATTTGATGAATTAACATAAATTTGTTGATTTCAAAACTAACCAAAAAAAAGAAAAGAGATGATTGTACGAGTACGTAATTGAATAACTTTAATCCATTTATCTTTCATTATACAACTTAACTAGGCAGGTACCCCCACGTTGCGCGGAACAGGAAGAACAGAAAAATAATATTTTAGAATTATAAAATTAAGCTATTACATTCAACACACTACCCATTACTTATTTCAGTTAACGATCTATTATAAATATAACATTCTAGGATATATGCCATGATATGTTAAATCTTTTTTAGTTTAAGATCTTTGAGCAAAATCTTTGGGATATGCAAACCAGATATTTGAAACAAAAAATTAGGGCCTAAACCTTGTAAATTTACATATATAAGATGCATTTTTTCTTCATTTTGAAGATAACCAATTCTTTTTTTATTATACTTTAACTTTTTGTTCACTATCACTGTTACCCTCTTTTTCAATACATTCATCTAGTATCATTAATTACAACAAATGTTTTAAATATTTATATTTTTCATTATTATTCTTTATGAAGAAAGCATATAAAATTAAGAAGAATTAGAAGGAAAACTATGGGTGCAAATGGTGGTGAGCGGGAGGAATTAGAGGAAAACAAATAAACAAAAAAATGGAGTGGAATAAACATTTTTTCCACCAGGGTATTTGATATAACGCGTTTTTGGCGCATTCTAACCTTTGTTTTGTAGGATTTTATCGAGTCTATCGTTCTCTTTCGAGTCATTCTAGGTATAAAAGTTGCTGGAAACAAAGATTAGAGCTTGCGGACTGGACTTGGCGGAAAAGGAGGAAATATGGATCTTTTGAAGTTTCTGCCCAGAAAGGAGCACCTGCCCCAGGAAAGGGAGCACCTGCTCTCCAGAAGATCAACTTAAGGAAATATTCACTAAACCTAATTTTGCAACCCTATCTTTGGGCCAGCCGCCGTGGGCCTTTAAATAGGTTTTTCCCTGGATCTTTTCAACAGAGATCACGCAGCAGAGAGAGACAGCCGCGAGCAACAGCAACGCAAGGGAGATTCACGAGAGAGAGAGAGATTCGAATACTTGTTTTGGAGATTTGTCTTTCACGTTTTTGTTGAAGTTTTCCTAAACCCTAATCTCTTTACTTTGATTTAATGAAGTTCTTCTTATCACTTGTTGCTGCTGTTG